CCGACACTCACAGCCCGCAGGATGCGTGATGGCACAGACACACAGTGCTGGAGGAGGTACTTACACAGCAGCAGCAGGACCCCGAGCAGAGAGATGCAGGAGTACAGGTAGGGCAGGTAGCACTCCCACAGGTCTGAGAGAGAGAGACAGGCAGGTCATCAGGCCGGAGGAACAGAGGTGCAGGCAGAGACTGAGGGCAGGGCCGCGGGGCCACAGCTCACCGTATAGACTGTCGCGGGCCGCGCTATCGTGATCGATGAGTGCCGACGCCACCCAGAGGATCCCCAGGACCAGCAGAGTGAGGAGCAGGAGCACCACCGCCGTCTCGTACACACGCGCCATCACGCCCTGTCATGCCAAAAACATGTCAATTACAGACGTAGCACTCAAGACCCCTGCTGCTTTCCACAACACGGCTGCTGCACACAGGGGTGCCGAAATGTACTCGTCAGGTGTCCAACACGCAGCAACAACACCCCATCTACATGCTACTCACACGCCAACATCATGATTATCATACACTGGCTCAGACATACTAGTTACATGTTACTCAGAAACCTACAAAAGCACAACACTTGATCATCAACACTGCAAACACTCGGGTTATAACTCATGTGTGGCCCAGTAGGGGGCAGCGGAGAGAGCACAGCGCACGAGACAGGCGAGGAAGACAGCGGTACCTTCTTGGAGCCGACAAAGCCCTCGGACTCGGTGAAGAAGTAGGCGAAGGGCATGAGGAAAATCAGGGAGAGGTTGGAGAAGAGGTAGACTAGGTTCCACAGCCCTGGGATTAATAGAGAGCAAACATCAGTCAGATGAAAGTTTAAAGCTCTGCCCTAGTGATGGGAATGTATTGACTCCCCCACATTAAAGAAACTAAGGACTAGGAAAACAGCTGGAGATTGATGCTAAATGTAGATGTAGGCAAGTGCATTTTATTGTATGTTGGTAACAAAAACAAACTAGAGATTTAAGATGGAAATCACTGATCTTGAAGAAGCTACCTTTCACAAAGGTTTAGGATTGACTTGACATACATCTTAGACACTCTGAAGAAACAGAAAATATAGTTAAAGGTGTAGAAGTTGAATCCAGAGATGTTATGTTAAAATTGTACAGCGCCATAAAAGACTTAATTTAGACTACTGTGTGCAATTTGGGTCACTGTGTTACAAAAAAGATATTTCAGCACTGGGATCAGTCCAGAGAAGAACCACCAATTACACCCTGGAGCTTAAGGGAGTGTCCTACACTGACAGGTTGAAGGAACTGAGCCTCTTTAGTCTGAAGGGAGTCTCCCACACTGACAGGCTGGAGGAACTAAGTCTCTTTAGTCTGAAAGGAGCCCCACACTGAAGGAACTGAGTCTCTTTAGTCTGAAGGGAGTGTCCTGCACTGACAAGCTGAAGGAACTGAGTCTCTTTAGTCTGAAGGGTGTGTCCTACACTGACAGGCTGAAGGAACTGAACCTTTTTAATCTCAGACAGAGAAGTCAATCAGAGTGTCATGTGAATCAACAGTGAAACATGAACAGTGGTCACAAGTGGAAGTTACAGGGAAGAGCATTTAATACTTAAACACTTCAGACAATGGATTGTGGGAGAAGGGAACAAGTGACCCTATGTATGGGCTAACTTATCCGTAGCCAGATCCCATCTTAGTAACAGGGCTCAGCGCCCCCTGTCTGTGGACTGATATTTCTGCAGCCAGATCCCAGCTCAACGATAGTAGCTCAAAGCCCTCTGTTTATGGCTCACTTCTTAGTAACTATAAGAGTTTTAATCCTCGTGTGGATGCTTAGTGCAGAGATCCCCTCTGCAGAAAAGTACATTTGGATGTCTGGATGTTTTGTTTGCCTGCCTATGCAAACAAACATGTAAAACCTTAACGGATTCGCTCTGGCCAAACTGTGAAACTAAGAGCTGAACGGTCGGCTTGTTCCTTGTTCCTTATTCAACAGCTATAGTGGTTTCAACTGACCAAAGCTGGGAGGATTGGGACTTCAAATGACAAAAATTAAACACCAAAAACTACATGTTGTGTTTGGATGCTTGGCTTGTTGTGCAAATTTATAGCTGCTGCTTTGTGTACAGTGGCTTATGCTTTGCATGTTGCGTAAGTGTGTAGCTGATGTGCTTGGCAGTGCAGTGTAAGTAGGAAAGTATGGAGTTGACGCCCTGCACCCCCACTGCACAGCAGCTCAGGGCAGGAGAGAGACACTGCTGCTCCAGGGGGTGAAGGGAGGACAGACTGTGCAGGAGCAGAGTGGGGTTTATCCAGGACACAGGGGTGACACCCCCACTCTTACAAGCAGGGTCCTGGGATCTTCAGAGAGCAGGGAGTCAGGACCTCAGGTTAATGTGTCATCTGAAGGACAGCGCCTCCTACAGCACGGAGTCCCCCATCACCACACTGGTTGCTGGTTTGGAAATTCTGGTCCAGAGGGAAGTGCACCTCCTACTGGTCCAGTAGCACCACTTACAGCACGGACCTGATTTACCTGCAAAGTCTCCAGTCCCAGTCCCAGCCTCAACTAGCTCCCGACAGGTGACGAAATCCATCTACAAGGTGGAATTGCTGCTGCTCCCAAGAGTGGAGAAGGCGTGTGCTTGGCATGCGGTGAGGAGAAGGCGTGTGCTTGGCGTGTGGTGTTCCCTGAAGATATGCATGTGTGTGTAGATGGCATGTAGTTTGTGTGTTATGTGTTTAGAAAGCGCGTGTTTAGTGCCTGGTATACATGTGTAGAATGTGTGTGGGTGGCGTGTCATGCAGTAATCTGCTCACCGTGGATGAGAGAGCCGTTGAGCCACTGCATGTAGTAGCTGTGTGGGAAGGACAGCAGAATCTCATTGGACAGGATGGAGAGTGGGAGGAGGAGTACAGCACACACGGAGACTGCCAGGGTGAAGGTGCA